CCCCGCCGCCCCAGGCCCACTCCCCTTTCAGTCCTGCTGACCGCTTGCAGGCTCCGCAAAGCCCCATAGGCCTAATAACGAGAATTTAGGGATGCCACAATGATCCACAGCCCTAACGGGGGAGCCCTTCCTAATTTGCCCTCTTCCATTAAGGCCATGTGGATGAGGTTGGGGTGTTTATAATAATACCCCCCAAACAGAAATCCCCGGGCACAGTCTATGGTCATATTACCCTGAATACATCCAATTTCATCTGATCCTGAACACTAGGCAGGGTCGGGCCTGGTGAGGACCTTAGATGGGCGAGAGCCTTTGACACGGTCCTGAGACACAGCCGCACGGCAGCATCCGTCATGTCTTCACCCACTTCTTCCCCCAGAGCTTTAAGATGGCTCTCAGGGACTGCTCCCGTGGGCATGGCTTACCCAGTCAACAGACCAAGTATGAAACTAGGAGACAGGACACGGGATCCTGTTCCTGGCTCTACTGCTAAGTCACTGAGGAACTCAGGTGAGCCGCTCAGGCCCATGTCAGTCTCATCACCAATGACTTGGTTCAAAAGCCATCTGTCCTAACTCAAAGAGTTATTGCGAGGAGAACAAGAATTTCATTTTCTTATCACTGCTTTGATGAGTTTGAAGATCCATAAAAGAACAACCACCACACACTGGTTGATCACATATAACTGCCTCCTGGGCACCCTCTCATCATCGACTCCCTTTAACCCCACAGTACAAGTGAGGAAACAAATTCAAGTCATCAACCTAGTCAGGACCATGTAGCAGTGAGAGATGGAATGAGGACTCCACCTCAGGATATTTGGCCCTAAAGCCAGAGCTGTTAAAATACCAGCTCTCAGCCGGGCTCGGTGGCTCAGCCTGTAATCCCGCGCCTTTGGGAGGCTGAGGTGAGTGGATTGCCTGAGCCCGCGGGTTCGAGACCCACCTGGGCAGCGAGACCTCATCTCTACAATAAATCAAAAAATCAGCCGGGCGTGGTAGCACATGCCTGTAATTCCAGCTACTTGGAAGGCTGAGGCGGAAGGATCGCCGGAGCCCAGCAGGCGAGGTTTGTGGTGGCCGGGAGCGGCCACTGCACTCCAGTCTGGGTGACAGAGTGAGACTCCAACTCAAAAAAAAAAAAAATACCAGCTCTCATGTACAATAGTAGCTAACGTTTGTGGAGCACATATTATGGGCCAGGCTTTGTTGTACAAATTTCACAAAACTCTAGATAGAGATACTATCGTCGCTCCCATTTTACAGATAAGGAAACAGAGAGGGATGACTTAACTAAATGTACACAGTTCACAAGTGAATCATCAGGAAGTTTGGTCAAAATCCTTATCCACTATCTCCATCTTACTATATATAGTAAGTTCCTGATTAGAAAGCAAGTTCCAGCAATAAACCCTAAGTTCAGTGAATTAAAGACTGATTGCCTGGGATAAGTTGGACATCCAGGCCCTAGGCAAGAGACTGGAGTTA